CATTAATTCACATCTCAGACTTTCCGATACTACTGTAAACTATTCATGATTCCTTCATCTTCCCCAGTCTTCAACTAATTAATTATTACTCAAGAGATATCTGCCCAACCTTATTTAAATTTCTCCTTGTCGATCAATTATCAACCAGACTAGAGTTGCCAAAGAAAACGACAAAAATGAAAAAAAAAGATGCCAAATTGGAGTTCATTAACTAAATAGTTAAAAAAAAAAACCGGAATATATTCTCCCAATGATATTTTTAGGTTAATAGAGAAAACTGAAGATGATGGTATTGGGGTTTAGAGAATGGTGTAGTGCTGAAGGCGATAAATTAAATAGGCCAAGCTGACTAATTTTAAATAGTTTCAGTAATTCTTTTGTTTTGTTTTGTTACTGTTTTTGCTTTTTTGTTATTTTTTTGTTTTCATTTTTATATGAGGACGTCAGTTATTTCATTTCCCCCTTTAAAGCCATCTCCCCCCTTATGTCAATTTAGGATAAAGCATTTGTCTGCTTAATCTTTGAAAAAATTTAGACTCTGAGGGGACCTATATGTATGGTGAGTTAGATCTTTTATGGTCCAAACGCAATTAAAAATACTTGTCGTGATTCACATTTTCATTTTACATAGATTAGTAGAGCACTGTAAAACAAAAAACTACCAATTACTTCTAATCTCTCTTCAAATTCAAATGACTATATTTTTAGGCTTTTAATTTACAATTTGTCGTGTCATACCTCATTTGAAATAAAAGCTCTTACTAGATAACTGGTCGTGATAAAATGCACGTAAAATATGAAACAATATAATACTTTTGTTGTCTTTAAAAGGCCACTTTTATGTTGTCTTGCTACATTTTCTGATGGTACTTTACGTCGAGAGAGGAAAGTAACTTTAATGAAACACTCAGACATGAATGTTAAAAAAATGTTGTGCCTTAAATTTGCCAATATAAAGTTTATTTTATTTTATTTTATGATACTACGTTTGTTATCGATAACATTGTAACTTGCAATTACCAAAAAATAAATTACTAGATAAAATAATAAAACAACAGCAAAAGGCAAAAAATTGGGGACTTATTGTAAACCACTGGGTAAATATTGACGTTCGTTATTTGATATGTAAGATCATTATTTTTAGAAACCTTGAAACATTGATTTCTAACAAAAAAAGAAAGAAAGGAAATTTGCTTAAAATTTGTTTTACAAAGTGCATGGTAAGCGAAACGAATTAGATTTGTAAAAATATAACTTCGCCTGCTTATTAAACAAAAAATACACTCTGGCTCCAATATCTGCCCAGTTATCAGAGGCATCTACTTTTGATGTCATTTCAGTGGTTTCATGCCAATTTCAGAGCTCACTATTCAACCAGTTTTCCAGCTCTCACGACTGTCATTTACTTACTCAGTCGAAATTCTTCAGAGCATAGATCGGCCTGAATGTGCGCCACAATCACGTACGTGTTAATGCTGAATATTTGAAGTGTTTTTTATATGTGTATCATTAATAACAAATAATTACAAGTAACGTAAGGTCTCTGAATTGCAGAGGTATCCAAAAGGAAGTAACTGTGAATGAGAGACGGGCTAACTTATTTTTAGCTGTGGGTATTTAGGATATACAGTATCGCTTTACGTTCTACTTAATATTGAATAAATGTATGAATCCTCAAAGTGTAATCTGATCAACATTCTCGAACTTTGTTCTAAGTGTTTTCCAGGATTTACGCAACCTTTTGGCACTCAGAATTATTCAGAACAATATTGATGTTATTGGAACAAGTAAATGTACCGCAACTGGTGCCCCAGACCTCTATAAAGCAGGTAGCTTTTCACTGAACTCGAGTCACTTCTCTTCCAGAGCGGTGAGGTGAAGAGTAAGACAGCAAGAAACTACTCTAACACAATGGCTCGTCCTTTGCTACTTTTTGTTGCGGCGATGATTTTGGCAGCCCATGCATCCCTTATCCCAGGGGTAAGTCAGTTTTTAAAACTCGACTATCTCACGAAACTTGTAAAACTTTACGCATGCTTCCACGAGTTAAAGTTGCTTTCTGATTTCCCTTTGTTAGCCTCTAATGTACTACCAGCAAAAACAAAAACTGAATAGTATTTTTTACTAAAACTTTTTGTCTTAAATGTTTCATTTCTGGAGCTAATTTGCATAGCATCTTCCCTATAGGGCCCTATTTAAAACTAAGAACTGTGATCATGTTCAGCCACATCCTTGTACTGATTTAAAAACTTTGCTAAACTCAAAAGTGACGCAGCACCTTAAGTACAGTAAGAGCATTCAAAGCAACAGTAAAACACATATCAGTGCTAAGCAAAGGTAACTATGGATTAATTTTTCGAATGTCTGCACTCTACAGGATTCGTTGTCGGAACTTGGGGAAATAGATGGTGAGGAAACAGCCGATGTGCCGGAGAATGAAATGCCTGAAGAAGGTTAGTAAATTTTAAGAATGTTGAAACAAAATAAACTCATTTTTTTGCAGACTATGCAATATAGTGGTGATTAATTTTTCTGTTTTTGTTCATTGTTATTTTAATGACAAAATGGACGAAAATGAAACAGAATTGGTCGAAGAAGACTTTGACGACGGGGAAGACTTAGATGAGATGCCAGAGGAAGGTACCAAGTATTTGTATAGCAACAAAAACCTTTAGATTACGAAAGCAAGACTTTCACTACACTAAGTAGTGTGCGCGTGAGCTAGCGTCATTTTGGCGGGAAAACGCGATAGCTGGCGTCATTCTACTACGATTTTTAGCATTAATGTCGTAGTGATGAAAACAAGTCATCAAATGTTACAAGTTTTATCATTTTGCGATCAGAAGAGGGCTTAACCTCCTTCAATAAAGAAAAACGCGCTAGCTTTTCTGGTGAAAAAAGTGCAATGAAGCTTCCCGGGCTGTTTATTTTTGGAAAATAAGCAAAAAAGCTTTAAGTGATATCTTGTCCTGGTAGTTGTCCTAGTCCTCGAACCGAAAGTTCTCTATTGATGTTTTTTGACACAATGAATAAAGAAGAGTCTTGAAAAAGCTATTGTTGTTTCTTAATATTTCATTTTTCAAAATAGTCGGGGAGGTAGATGAAGGCCAGCTACAAGAAGACACCTCTGATACAGCCATCACTCCTGGTGAAGGTGAGAGCTACTCTAAATAAAAAAATAAATTAACCCTCGAAAGTACACACAAAGTCATACCCTCACCGTGGTACAAGGGAGCGTTTGATAGAACCCCTCCCTTGAGTTTTGATATGTTGTAGTATTTCGAAAAGATTTTTCCTTCAGTAAGAAGCCGTTCATCTTCTCGACAAGATGAAGTATACTGTATGAGTGGTAGCGCTGCTGGAGGCCCCGAACACAGTCGCCAACTTAGACTTTACCCGCAATTAGAAATCTCCTAAATTAAAACAGAGAGAATAGGTAATGTTTTTTGTTTGACTTGTAAAATAACACATAAATTCGCACTCTGCTTCATTTTATCCACAGGTTTTGCTTTTCTCGTTGAAACACGTTGAAAAACATGCATTTTCACTAAAAAATAATGGCTAGGTATTTCGTAACCGTTCAGAGGAGCATTACCACAACAATTGCACGCGCACGTTTGAAAGCATAATGAGCGACCTGAACCACAAGTTAAGGTGATTCCCTAGTAAAAGAACCTAACATAGATTGTATATGAAACTTGGTACACTGATGTAACCAGTCAAGAAGATGATAAAAAACTAATAAAAAGTGGGGGTCACCGTGCTCGTTTTGACGTCACAATGCTGGCAAATACGGCTATCTTGGACCTTTGGACAAAAAACCGAGCGCAGCCCAAAACTAGGCAAAAAGGAGAGATTTTTTCAATGATGCATGTGGTATCGCACAGAATTTGACTTTAATGTATTGTTTATCCACTTACGTACCATAAAAATGCCTTTTAATGCCCTTGTGTAGTACTTTACGCTCCAAAGTAGAATTAAATTGGACACGCGCTATTGGACACGTGATAGCTCAATCTGTACAATTTAGTAAAACTGCCAAAAAACTGAACATAGATTTGTGCCAATTTTTTTCTCACCGAAAGGAAGCACTGTCCTTACTAAAATCATGAAATAAAAAATGGGGGTCACCGAACTCGTTTTTGCGGTAGAGCTGCAGAAAGTGCGCACCAAATGCATTTTGGTTGATTTTGAGAGAGAACTGGGGCGAGTTTTAAAATAGAATGTACGTGAAAGGGGGAAGAAAGTATTAAAAAATCCGTTTTTACAGAATTTACATCTAGATATCACATTAAGGATACAATGTAATAAAGAAAGCATTTAAATGAAAATCAAAGTGAATAAGCACAAATTAAACATCCACTATCGAGGTTCTCCGTGAGGAAGTCGAACTCAGCAACACGAGTACTGCTTACGTTATGCACATTCCTACCACACTGAGTCTCCCCTCGGCAAGAAACAACCGCAAGCAAAAATTGCAATAGCGTTTCTCTTCGGTCAACTTCATTTTAATAATTTTACTTCACATGCTCTTTTTTACGGAGGCCATCTTGTTATGCACAGTAAGAGATGCGCAGTGCAAAACCAGAGAATCACCTTAAGAAAGTTGTTGCCGCCTCTTTATAAGAGAAACTATAATCTAAGGCACGCGCGCACTTTCACTTTGCCGCGTTGCAAGACAAATAGATTTAAGAACAGTTTTTTTATGACCTCAGGCAGAATTGTAAGTAATTTTTAGGTTTCTTATTATACGTTTCTAGTCTTAGCTATTACACTTATTACTCATTTTTACAATTATTAGTATAAATTATTACCATTATGTAAATACGCAATTCAGCTTATGCTGCAATGTATTTAATAAAGTACCTACCTACCCATCATCACCAAACTTAACTCAAAATGCGCGCGGAAGAGAAACGGACAGCTGCTGAAAACGTCAGGTGCTTAGTTTCTTTGTCTAAAAAAAGTCTCAGAAAGACTTCAGATGGGCCGGTGGCATC